GTTGGAGATAGAGTAGATGAAGCATTGTTGATATTTTAATTTAGCAACCACAAAATGGCCCATGTTGGGGACACAAAATGCTCAACTCTTACAATGGAACCCAATGTAAGTTATTTGTTTTCTTTGCCAAAGCGTATTGAATAACAGCTCTTTTAGATACCCTGCTATTTAAAAATACAGTGTATATTAGTTTTGCACTGAGTCAAACTTGTAACAATTGATCAAATTTCTAGAAAAAATTTATCAACATGCACCATACCAAATTAACACAATATAAAAATAGATATTTTGGACTCAATATATTTATTTGGACATTGTAGTATGTGAACCTTGTAAAACGTCAATGGAAAATTACGACCATTGTGCATCTTAGGGAATAAGAACAGAAACAAATAGTATTTATATTCTGTCCCTATTTTTACACCGCATAAATGGGGTTCTATATCCATGAAATTTTCACCTTTTGTGAAACCTTGACGATGCCTCAAACTGCTGATGTTAACGAGAGTTTATATGGATGGTGTACCAAAAGAAAATCAATGCATGATGTTAATTCATTTGTCTCTATGTTCATGCACGGGCCGGTGTAGATATTGGACGATCGGGAAGAAACGAAGAAGGACGACCCGGGCTTTGTCATCGTCATCTCCAACAGCAACGACGAATCGATCCCCCAACCGCAGGAAGCTATAAAGTCGAAATATATCATACACACCTTCAGCTTCCACAACAGCGGCACACGCACCAGCAGGGCCATGCACTACCTCGCCAGCAGCTCTGGCGGCATCTACGCCAGCCTCCATGACCACCGCAACCAGGTCACCGAGGCCTTCACGGCCTGCATCAAGAGAATCACCTCCACCATTGGCGTCCAGACAAAGGTTGAAATCACGTGCAGCCACTCGAGCATTTCATTACCTGGCATGGAGTCCGGTGAGTTCGGGCCTTGTATCGGTGAAGACGGCAGGTCTGTCTCCATAATGGTTGGTAACCTGTATGCCGGCACCGCAAAGAACTTCATGTTCTACGTCGACAATGCTCGATTGGATGACTACGACAATCTGTCCAAGCTCCTGAAAGTTCATGTCGAATGGGAGAATAAATTCACCGGGGGGAGCGAGGTACACGGTCAATTGGTCGTTGTCAGGAATGGGAGTGATGGATGCAAGGAGATGATGGAGGAGATGGCGCGATCCGAGACGGGCAAAGTCCTATGGGAGATTGCTGATTCCTATAACGATATGGTGGCGGAGAAGTTGCACACGTGTCTCAAGCAGGCTTCCAGGAAGGCACAAGCTTCTGGCGATGCTCTTCTCGCGGGAGAGATGGAGAATATGGAGGCCATCCTGCGCAGGAAGATGGAGAAAGAACATCGGAAGGCCGTTGATCCGAGTTACGTTAAAAAACTAGTGGCAGACAGGCTGTCGAACATGCTCTCGTGGTTGTCTTTTCATGCCTTGTCTGAACAGCCACCTAGGATACCATGGCGCAGTTCTTTTCGGCTGGAGCTTCTGCAAAACTACCCACAGAACAAATAGGAGTCAAAAGAAGTCCCAGAGAAACTGCATTTCAGATTATTTCAGTTTCAGTTGTCGGCGATTATTATCTAATTTATGTAATCAAAAAGCTAAACTGCCATGTACTGAAATTAACGGATATTAAGTTACTATTACATACTGTTTTTGCCACGGTCAACAGCACAGTAATGATTTCATACATCACGCCGTGCTGGAGTTTAAATAACAATATGGTTGTGTTGTTACTTGAGAGCAATTCAAATAAAGCGAAACGCCCTGTTGACACCAGTTTTTGGCAAGGCAGAAAACATAATTAAGATGACCTAAAATGAAAAAGTGTTGCACATGGAAATTCTTCGTCTTGTCGAGGTGAACGGTTTTGAGATTTGGATCATCTATATCCCAGGTCTTTTTTTGCGGGGAGTTATAGACAAAACAGTGCAATGCTACAGGAGAAATTCCGATTGCCAGACTATCTGGTCAAGATTACAAAACACGTCCAAACCTTCTGTCATGACTGGACAGTCTGGTCGGATCGAGTAGACAGTCACATCGGTGCCAAAATGATGTTTCTCCAGGGATCTGATAATTATGGTTCGATTTCACATACGAGATGGCCTTAGATGAAAAAACATTTAACAAGAGAGTTGTCTGTCTCGTCGAAACGGAAACGTTTTCTTTTGCGCAGATCTCCATCCGAGGTATATGCGGTCCGTGATTGTTCTTGCTACAAGGAGATTGTCATGCAGGGTTTACAATCTACCAAGGTAATATGAATCCCCAATTCACTTATCTACATGCAGTCCATGATGCACATATGCCCCAATCATGAGCTTTGAGGAGAAATTATTATTGAAATCTTTTATGCTCGGCATTCTCATAATGATCGATCCATGCTTGATACTTCTTTTGTTGGTTCCTTTATGAAGAAAACTATTGAATTCAAATGGTGTCTTCTAGAAAGAATTAAACGCAACTCAGGTATAAAAATAGAGTTTGATTGTGTTAAATCTTTTATGGAAACATATGCTTTTCATATGTTTAATACTAAATATGGAATGGACTCTAAGATATTAGCTTCCTTTTGTGAATCATCTACTACACATGTTGATCTCCCTAAGGAGAAGTGGTTTAAATTTCATCCAGCTATTGAAGATATGTTAGAGGAACCTATTACGGTTAAGGGTGAAACTATTATTTATAATCTTGATGCAGTTGCTCGTACTACTTATATCGAGAAACCTCCTTTCCCTGTAAGGATTAAGGAACATGCTAAACCTGCAACTATGGTTAATAGAAGTAATATTAGAACACCTAAACCCAGTGAAAAAATAAATGTGGAACGTAATATTTCTACGGTTAATGATCTCTTGGTTGATAATACTGATGGGCATGTTATTTACTTCTGTGATGAAGCTACTATCATTGCTAAACCTGCCAGAAATGAACAAGATATGTTGGGTAAGAATAAGCCAATGGTTGGCATGGTTGTCGTTTCTGATAAAATTGGAGAACATTGCTAACATTGTTTATGTGACATGGGTACTAGTGTGTGTGCTATTCCTTTTACTTTATATGAAAAAAATTATGAATGATATTGCACCTACTGAGATTGAGGACATTGATGTTATTATTATGCTTGCAAATAGAGATACTATTTCAACACTTGGGACTGTTCGAGATGTCAAAGTATTGTGTGGTAAGATTAAATGCCCTACTGATTTCTTAGTTCTTCGCTAACAACAAGATATTTTTTGTCGCATTATATTTGGTAGACCTTTCTTGTATACTGTTAATGCTGAAATTGTTTGTGTTAAAGAACAGTTTAGAGATAATTTTAATGATGTATCTCATGAGTTTAATTTCTCTAAGTTTTGTAGACAACTGCATGAGAAAGAATTACCTAGTAAAGATAAAATTATTAGTCTTGATTCTATTGCCATACCTCCTACTGATCCGTGAGAAAAATATTTGCTAGAAAATGAAAATGATACGCATATGAATGAAAGAAATGAAACAAATGAGATATTATTTAAAGAAGCACCTATTCTTCGACACAATTTTCCTGTTGATACTCTGGGATATCCTCTCCCACCAAAGAGTGATCATGTGTTTGAATTAAAGAAACTACCTGATACATTAAACTAAGCTGCTTCAGCCATGGCGGGATCTGGTGCTAACGGCAAGTGGGGCGTGTCCATCGTTACCAACAATGACATCGTGGAGTTGAAGCGAGCCGGCTACTTATCGGCTGATATCACCCACCGGCCCCCCAGGAGGGTTAGGTCATCCCCAGGACCAAGCCAGGCGTGAGGGTAGTTTGGTTCCTCACTTTATTCGGGGGCTGGGGTTTCCACTACACGACTTCGTGAGGGGGTTAATGTTCTTTTATGGGCTGGATTTCCACGATCTAGCCCCCAATTCCCTCCTTCACATTTCATCCTTCATCATCGTTTGTGAGGCTGTTCTGCGAGTTCAGCCGCTCTTCGGCCTATAGCTGAAAGTGTTCAATGTTAAGCTGAAGGTGGTCAGCGGCGCCCAGGCGGATTTGCGGCAGAGAGATGATCAGCAAGTTGACCCAAGTCCAATGGCCGGAGGGCAGATTCATTGACACCGTCAAGGTGTGGCAGAAGGAGTGGTTCTACATTACGGAACCAAGGGATGCGGCCTGGACGGTGGCTCCCGAATTCAGATCCGGTCCCCCAACGAGGCTGACCTCGTGGACCAAAAAGGGTCCTAACTGCCGATCCGCTAGAGAGGTGAAGATGCTGCAAAAACGCATCTCCAACGTGATGGAGACCGGCGCCAAGCTGACCAATGTGGTCCAGATAAATCTCAGGCGCCGGCTCCTTCCTTGCGAACAAAGGGCCAGTCCGATGTGGGCTTACAAGCCTGACGATCCGGCCACTGTGCAATACCTCTTCGGCACGACCCATGATAAGGTGTGGAGCCTGTTGTTCAAGCCCAGAAAGAGTCGCCGGCCAAGGAGGAAGACATCGGTCTCGACGCCGCGCATCCCCTAAAGGATGTAATTGATCTTTTGCCCGATTTATATTCAGACGACCAAAAGTTCGGTCTAAGTTTCTTTTCGTTGACTTCACAGGGCTGGCTCGAGAAGGCCAAGAAGATCAGCAGTACGTCTCCGCTGTCGGAAGTGCCTCAATCAGCTCAACTAGCGGAACAACTGGTCATGGCGCCTTACAAGGCACTCGAGAAGAATGGGATGAAGAAGATGGATCTTCTAGAGGCCAGGGGAGGCCTCCGCTTGAGAGATCATACAGACACCTAGTCTGGAGTTACAGCGGCCCCGCCTGCCCAAGACGGGGAGGAGGAGGAGGAAGATGAGGAGGAGAGCGCCTCCTCTCATTCCAAGAAGAGGGCGGCGTCCGAGGACATCGAGAAGGTGCAACCTTCTCGGGCCCAGAAGAGGCAGTGCAGACCCAAGTTGGTCTTGCCCGACAGTTCGGACTCCGATGAGGAGTCCGTGGCTTTCGAAAAGGTTCCAGAGAGGGAACCAAGGGTCAAGCCCCTAGCCATGAGGTATGAACTTCAATATTTCTTGCTTACTTTGGTTTAACAGTCCCTTACTGATGGAAACCGATTGCATGATATCGCTGCCCGCCGTGCGGCCGCCCTGCCGAGCAGACCTCAGAGGGGACCTCTTTGCGCGCCGAATTGGCGGACAACGGATTGACGTCGCGCTCCATACCTCCCCTGGCCCAAGAAGAGGCCAGGGAGGTGCTGTCCCGAAGGTCCCCTCCCCGTCCGAACACGAGGGAGAGGGGCGACGCTGTCATGGCCGAGGCTGATTTCTCGGTCGTCGAAGACCAGGAGGGTGTATCCCTGCTGGCGAATATGGGAGGAGAGTCCCAGCCAGCCGCACCTGAGCCCCCAAGGCCCTCAAAGGTATCGGTCCCGTCTTCCGACGGAGGAGGCATTGAGGTCCCGCCGCCCGCGCCGAACACCAACAACCAGGCGGCGGTGGGCTGGCCGGACGCGATGGGGGAGTTCGTGAACAACTCTGTCGTCATCGACAAGCACCACAGCCTTATGGGTGCGTTTCTGCAGGGTGTTCGGTCCGTCCATCATACCGGACTAAACAATTATATTTAGGGCCTTTTAACAGGCTTCAAGGTCAGTCAAGTAACGCTCCTTCCCTGTAAAACTGATTTTGTCTTTCGTTTAGAGATTGAGTAGGCCTTGTGCAGTGTCATGTGAACATTAAGTTACATGAGATTTCACCATATTTGGGCCTGAGGGAAGGCATCGGGCATTAATAAGTAGATGATGGATTGCAAGAGTGACAGAAGTTCAAACCCTAGTTTATGTGTTATTTTGTATGTAGCTGATTAGGATCCATATGTTTCATGCTATGATTAGATTTATTTTAATTCTTCATTCGTAGTTCCGGATGCTTCCGAGAGGGGGTAATCATAAGAGGGTTATTTCTTCAAGTAAGAACAACACCTTACCACCAGTCCACACACGTATGAAATTATCAAAGTAGCGAACACGAATCAACTGAATGTGATGAACGTGGCTGTACGACGATTCCCGTGTGTCCTCAAGAGCGCTTTACTTACTATAAGAAAATGTTCTAGTTTGTCCTTTGCTATAAAAAGGATTGCACCACCTTGCTACACCTTTGTTATTATTGCTACTTGTTCCTTGTTTGGAATTACCTTGCTACAAAAACTATCTATCATCGCTACTTTCGGTACTTGCAGAGAATACCTTGATGAAAATAGCTTATCATTTCCTTTCGCTCCTCATTGGGTTTGAAACTCTTCCTTATCAAAAGAACTACGATTGATCCCCTATACTTGTGGGTCATCACTAGACAAGTCACTAATCTAAATTAAACAGAAGAGTGCAAATAAAATCCAAGAACATTAAAAGCAAAAGGGACGTGAGGCAAAACTGGAAAATCAAGGGTGTTACAGGGATCCGCTTGTTGTATGCGTCCCTGGGCCATCCTCTAATTAATAGTTTGGTAGAGAGGGCCAATGGAGCACCTCTCA